AGTTACCATATTCTAAAGATCAGCCCTTTTTTTTGTAAATTTTGATACCCTTTAGATCATAATTGCTCTTTATTTCATAAATTACAGTTTCATATTTTTAATTTTATAATTTCTGCATGCCATCTTACCAGATTTAATGATCTATAATCCGGAATCGCCGAAGTCCCGATGAGTCCAGATTAAAGACTTTTGACTGTACTTAAATCTTAACCCTCAAGCTGCCCAAAGCTTAGCTCCACAAACCCTGGACTCCCAAAAAATGGCATGAAAAAAAAAAAGATTTTCTTGGTCATGACTCAAAATGCCATTATTGTTTTTATACCTTGAATCTTTTTCTTCTCCATTTCAAGATGCACATGTATTAAAGATTACAAGATTTAATTCTCTAGAAGTTTCATTATTTCATTAGTTTACTTATCTAGAAATATTCTTGGAGCATATATACAGATAGCTGGTTGGAGATTAAAAATCTGATCTAATTAATGTATGAAATTTAATATATTACTTAACAAAAAATCAAACTATTACCCTGAAGGAAACATAATCTAAGAACTTCACAGTCCTCACATTATTGTTCTATTTAGCCAGTTAAAAAGCAATTATAACCTATTCTATACTATTCTAGGCGACAATTGTGTATATTTGCGAAAACCCTGCGATGAACACTTCAACCTTGCCTTTGCTTTACAGAGGCATACTGCACCTGGGATGCCATCACATATCACACCTGGTCACCTCTAATATTGATCCATAATACCATGACAGCTAAGCACTACATTCATGACACCTTTCAGCCATATGCATTGCCATACATGGCAGAGCTTATCTAAGGTATTTTTCAACAAAACTATACTCGACTACACACAACAATTTGTTGCAGGAATGCCTCCACCACATTACCACCCTGGCCTACCCAACCCTAGATTTATCACTGGTTAAGCATGTCTTGAATCACTCGAGATGGCAAGTTTGGCTAGCCCAGGAGCAGGGTTGGCAGCATAGTTTAAGGGTGGCAAAATTTGTAAAATTTAGGAAGATATGAGCGGCAAAATTTCGGAGTTGCAGTGACTGCACTACGCGGCAGAAAAACCTAGTGCCAACCCTGCATAGAAGTTTGGTCAAACTAGAGTAGCACTTACAGGAAATAAAGAATCTGGACCTGTAGGCCTTAATACCTGCCTGTATCGCATCATATAGTCATACTAGAAATGGCCCAGCATTCATTTGCAGTTTTTGTTCTAATAATGATCCTTTTGCTTTGGATTTCATAATACCTTACTTATACCAACACTGCTCTCACATATATAAAATTTCATCTGATCCTAATAACTCTTTCTTGGAGTGTAAATTGTTATGGCAGTACATGTAAATGTACATAATATTGGGTTTTAACAAAAGTTTCCTGCCACCACAAATATCATCTGCACAAACAGTTCGCACTGGCATGTTTAATCATATGTCGTCAAACTATTTTTGGCATTTGAAAGAAAGAGGCTTGCTTTAAAATACTGTGTTGAGAAATTTGTAAAAAAGATACTGTTATCATTAAGTACAAGGTGTCTAAAAAGGAATTGTCATGCTACCAGATTATAATCATAGTTTACTTCCAATTCTGTTGCAAAAAGTCAGCTACAGAATGTCACCAAATCATGTGTATAGCTTTAAGTACTAATGTTGTATCTTATGACACTGTGAAGGTTTGGTACTAAAAGTTCAAAAACAAAGTCTATGACATTTAAGAAGCAGAGCACTCTGGCCAACCTATTCATATTAATGAGGCTTGCCTGTGAGAACTTGTGGAAGATCAGTATGCAAGCACTTGAGAGCTTGCTAAGGAGTTAAACGTTAGTGCGATGTCCATTAGTCACACTATGCATTGCATAAACTTAATGCAGAAGTTCAATTGGTTGCAGCATGAGCTGACTCAAGCAGATACAATAGACATGTTCAAGTCTGCCGATTTTTTGGCACATAGCTTGAAAGGATATCATGCACCACACATGTGGTTGTACTATACCCTCTTCTTAAACAAAGGAATAAAATACCATGAAAACAATCAATCCCTTGGTTAGAGTAGAGAGAAGGTATTATCGCAAAGTTGTTGTTTCATTTATGGTAGCCTAAGTAGTTGAATGTTATGGAAACCCTATTATGATACAATCGGTTGCATGATTGCGGTAAATTCGTAAGGGCTTGTGTGTGTGTTGGTTAGGAAGTATATTGTTTGTTTTGTGGTTTAGATGGTAAAATGGCTGAATGTGGTAAGATTAATTTGAAGTTTCTGTATGATTTGGAAAGAATGGGGAAAAGAGCATTACTTGACTGGTGTGTAAATGAAGGTTTACTTAGTAGCCATTATTAAGAGTCCTGTTTGCAGGAAGGAAATGCGTATGGTTGAACGACGGACGATAACGGCACTTATTAGGATATTTTTTACTCTTATTTTGTGAATTTATGTGGCGATGCCAGTATACAAATTCTAGTTCAGATAATTTTAGGAAGTTTTTGGATGCTGTTAAGGAATTTTGTTTAACTGAAGACGTGTTAACTTGTAAATAAGGTAAGTGGATATTTTCTTTGTGTAGTGCAAAAATGAATTTCCTTTTTTATGTTATTTCATTAATTTAAAATATAGTTTATTGAGATTATATATTTTTATATCGGCTGCACCTTTTGACTTTTTAAGTGAATATAGTTCGAGGTGTACATGGACAAAGTCAAGGGGGTGCACTGTGCAAGTCTCAGATTTTTTTTAAGTGAAAATAGGTCGATGTGTACAGGGATACTGAGTTTGTGTAATTCTTTTGTCTTGTTATTTTAGCTTTGTGTAGCGGCAATTTTTGGCCCAAAAATCACCCGTACACAATCCAAAATAAATCATTTTTTGCACTTTTGCAGTTGAGGATGATGGTTCGGTAAAACCATTGAAACTAGCCCTGTGAAAATTTAATGCTGATTTTTGTTGTTTGACTTCTGAATTCATATTTGTTCGGTGTGTTATTGTATCTTAATCTTTCAACTTGTTAGGAAACTGAAGTCCAAGAGTTGCTGCCACTTCTTTATGATCGGTTTGATGACAGTACTGATATCTCTCAGCTGCAGAGTTTGCTATAATGTCTGCAAGCTCATTACGCTTTGTGTCTACATGTCTAGGAATCCTGCATTAAAGAATCTCACAGTTCCTTAAGCTGGCTTTACAACTTTGATAAAAACCAGATTTTGGGCATCATTTAATGTTTCGAAAGCTTTCAGTGTAAATTATAAACTTTCTCTGGTCCAGATTAACTATAAAGCCACTCAGATGGTACAGAGGCTAGGGAAGCCTGACTGAGATACCGAAGGGTCCAGGTTCAAATCCCGCATAAGGCATTGTTCTAACTGCCCATCCCTTCATAGGAGGTAGCAGTAGCCTCCAATTAGGTGCCTCCACAATAAAATGGCCATCACTTTCGGCCTTAGGAGTGGCCAATGTCCAAAAAAGTACCTACCATTAAAAAAAAAAATTATTGAATATAAATATAAGCACAAAATATACAGCAGTTAATTCAGATGTAATACTAGGTAAACATCTGTCCTCCACAGGGTTGTCAATCACAAAGGATAGTCCAACTTGACAAGCCATTTTGAATCATCAGTATATATAGGAACATAAGTGCTTTATTTATGTCTGTGCTCAAGAAAAAGTTGTTTGATTATGACTTCATTTGCACTTCATTTTTCAAGGTGGGGGAAAAACATAAAGAAGTTGGATTTCTGCAGATTCCCAAGGCAGGCAGAAAATAAAAGGATTCACAGAAAAAGATCTATGCAAACCAAATAAAGACAGATCATAAAAGATACTTTTATTAATCAGAAAATCTATAAAATCTCAATATTTGAAAAACATTCAAACTTTTGTCTCAAAATTGCAGAAATAAGTCAAACTGGGTGACATATACAACGTATCAGAACATCTGCAATCTCTTAGATGATGAATCAGTGATATGTGTCAAAAGGTTATATTCTTTCTGAATAAATGAATCATGTAAAATAACAAATTTACAATTTGTAATGAGGCAAAATACAAACAACATGGATTTATCAGCAATTAGTCTTTCCGGGCTTTGAGATAACCGATTAACAATCAGTTAACTAAAAATTCCATTATAATATATTGTTTTATTAAACTGGTTATTAAATAATTTTCAAATGCATAAAAATAATGACATATAAATAGTGAAATTATTTCCATCAAAATTTTTTGAAGCTATCGAAAATTCTGTTGAAATATCCTAGTTAAAAAATTGTTTTTTCTCTTTTCATACTAATGGTTAAATCACTTCCTGGCTCTAAATTCATTTTGAATATTGGTAAACCAGAACACATGCACTAGACTTAAATTAAGATTTTATTTAGTAAATTCTTCATAAAACCTATTTTTTTAGAATCAATAGTTTGCTGATGAAAATTATATTCATTTCACAGTTACCATGTTAACATTAGTAATCTGAAATACAAAAGTTTCAAACAGCCATGAAAAAAAATGAAGAATTTAAATCTTTTCAGATCTTTGCTGTACATTATTACAATGATGTAGAAATACTATAAAATTCAAAAGTATACATTTACTAGAAAAAAGTATAGAGCTGTTAATTTGACCCTGTCGCCAAAAAAAAGCTACAGTTATCAGCACAAATACTGTAACACTGCTGACCAAATAGTTTTCAATTCCATTTATATTCTAGCACATCTGAATAAAATTTAGAATATATTGAAAATTTTTAAATCCCACATAAATTTCATTCTTCTAACTACCAAATTATCCACTTTCATTTCTAGGTCACTTTTATTCTTTATCACTAATGACAAAACATTTTGTATCATCACTTAGACCATCCCAAGCACTTGATTTTTCCAACTTATTCGTTCTTTGAATTCAGTTTCACAGAAAAATTTGCTTATAATTTACAGATTCTCAAAGAGTAGATGATTAGAACAGTACATTCAAATAATATACATACTTATCCCTGCTTTTAGAAGATGATTAAAATTACTAACCAAAATTTACAGAAAAGAAACTTCTAAAAACAATTCATTCATGTTAAAACATTCCCGCTGGAAAGCACTCCCGCAAAGAACTCCGAAAATGTAAACACCGCCAAAAAAAGCGATAACAGCTCAAACCTGGTAACCCAAAGGATACGTTAACTGTTATTCTTATGTTGTTTTCGTTGAACACTACACTCATCGTTCGCCTTTGCCGATATAATTTATTCTTCACTTATTTACAATGATTTTCTCTGATTTCCACGATATAGTTTACGATTTTTATTAACAATGAACAGCTAGAAGTATTTTCGTGTAATTAAGGAAGTTGTTAGAGATAGACGCTTATACGCAGTGATGCGTCAATATGTTCACATCAAATAACTGACAAGGCGGAGATTTGGATGCCGCTGATCAAGAAGCACGTGACAAAGGGAACAACTAGTATGACTAATATGAATGGTAGACATATTCATTGTTGGACTAGCGTGGGTGTTATATGCGCATCACACTGCTAATAATTTCACAAATTCCGTTAATTAGACAACTGGTGCACACAGATGTTAATTAGACAACTGGACAACACAGACCACAAAATTGAACAGGCGTGAAAGTAAAATTACAAATTCACTCATAAAATTTATCTAGTTAAGATTCATAAAATTTATTTCCTTTTAGTCTGAAAGTAAAACTAACTTCATTCTCCATATGAAGCGGTTGGGTAGGTTAAACTATGAAAATAAAATATATCTGAATAAAGTAGTGTCATAACTGTACAAAAACTTTTCATAAGTGAGTCCTGGCTTTCACTGAGGATGAAGGCTGCATGAGGGCGAAGATATCTATCTTCGTTGAGCATTTCCTAGTGAAAAGTTCGAAAAAAGTCCATTTGGTCACAAAATTGAGCATTCTTGATGAATTTTTTGTTAGCTTTCCTGAGAAAGTTATCCAGTTTAAAGTCAACATGTAGAAGTTTATTTCGAACAAAATAGTGTGCATTAGTGCTGATCCTTAAAAATATGTTTTGCACAACCTGAAGCTTGCACATATCCGAAGGAATAGCAGCAGCCCAAGCTGGCGAAGTATATGTCATCAAGGGTCTAATTCTTGAAGTGTAGATGATTTTTGAAAAATCAAGCTTTGAGAATTTCCCTGTGATGGGAAGTAGGCACTTTATGACTCTGATTGCTTTGCTCCTCACGTGATCAAAGTGTTGTGACCGCGTGAGTTTGTCATTAGTGATGATTTTTAGATAATTAGCCTTTGGAGCAATGGGTATCAGCTCGTTGAAAAGGAAGAGATTTTTCTTTGGCTTTAAATTCGGTTTTTTCCTTCTAGATAGCAGGAGCTGTGACTTTTGGGGGTTACTACGTATTTTCCAGTAGCTACACCACTGTTCTATACTCGGAATGATGGCTTGCAGCATTTTAATGGCGGGGCTGATGCTGGCTGATTTTACTGCCAAGGCGGTATCATCCGCATAACAGGCTAGGATTGCATTGTTGTTAAATTGCACCCTAGGGCAGGCTGCTACATAATACAGATAGAGTACAGAGCCAAATACCGAACCCTAGGGCACTCCGTTTAGGATTTTTCTGGAAGAAAATAAAGTATCTCTGACGAAAATCCTGTAGGTTCTATTCGAGACGAATGAAAGGATGAGCAGGATCAGTTCTCGATCTAATTGGAGATTAATCAGCTTGGCAATGTCATGCTATTCCGTTTGCCTTCTAGCTTGCGCAAGCTACCGGTTCAGCTTAATGTAGCGATGCTAAAGGCCCGTCTACACGTACCGATTTTATCGGCCGACTTTCTCGCAGAGGAACAATTTTCAGGATGTGCGCATGCGCTAAAAATCTGTCATGTTCTCTGCGACGATTTCAGAGCTAGTGTTCACCGCTCACTAGCCGACGATAAAATCGGCATCTCTAGCCAATTAGATTGCTTCCAGAGATCACGTGCTTTTTCTCTCTCATTTTGGAAACATGGCGCTTTTTCGTTGGAGCGAAAATCAAATTTTTCAATTGATTGATTTTTATAGAGACCATGCTGTGTTGTGGGACACAAATAACATAAATTATAAAAATAAAAAGTTAAAGGATTCCCTTATTTTGGTAAGTTATCTTCCCGTTACTTTATCATCAAATATTTTTTTATTCGTGATGAAAATTATTTTATGTTGGTTAAACAAATTACAGCTCAATTTAATACAATATTGCTCAATTTTATTAGCTGATTAACTGATATAGCAATATGATTACAGTTTTCAGAACTGTATTAGTTATTAAACTATACCGATAGTATTTTTTAATATTCAGTATGATATGCTATTTTAAGATTTTGCATATTTATATTTCTTATTTGAAATTTTTGTATTGAAATTACACTATTCCTTTCTACTATAGTAATCTTTATTCTGTATTAGTACTTTTTACTCATATTGTTGCGGTTTTCATAACATTATTGTCTATTTATTTAATAGTAAAGGTTATCATTTAAAGCACAGTAGTAGTAGTTATTTACTTTTTCTGAAGCATGGTTATTTTAACATTTCAGGACTTAAGCACACAAATATGCGTTCCAGAAAATGAAATTTAAAAAAAAAAATGGAGTAACCTGCGTACTCAATTTACAAAGGAGAAACATAAAGAGAAAAAAAAAAAATTATACATCTGGTGCAAGCACTGCCATGCAGTACAAATCGGCATGGCAGTTTTACACATCGTTACAATTTTTAAGTGATGTCCGTGTCCTTAAGGAATACTGTGACTTCTTTGGTAAGTGATTACTTTTTAAATTTATATAATTTTGGCTTATAAAGTAAATAATTTCCCTTTACTATTTGAAAATTTATAGAATTGTTTTTAATATAGGCAAAACTTTTAACAGTTTTTGTGATAAATAAAATAATATTGTTATACATACTTAGCTGTGTAAATTATATTAGCCAAATCTTCAAGCTCATGCAGCAGATGGGTCATCTGCAAAAGTTCACACTCACAGCAATTTCTATATAACTTCAGTACAAAAGTATTATTTTATTTATCCTTTTACAACTATGTGTGCTATTTAATTTCTTAAGTGAAATCTTTATATTTAAAGACTATTCTTAAGCTCATTTACTTAAAAATAATCCCATTTCCCATTAAAGTATAGGTGCAATACCCATTAAAGTATAGGTAAAAGTGGATAGGACCAGGGCTTAATTTCTAAAATCAGAAGTGTCAGAGTTAGTAGAAGTTATATTTTGAATTTATATGAAGACCTAATCTTTTTTCCAATGAATGATATTCTATTGATAATTTCCAAAATAGCTGAGCAGTAAAACTGCTAAATAACTGGTAATTTGACCAGTGTTCGAATGCCAGCAAATAAGCTGACTGTAAGGTTGGTTTTTGTTTTTTCCTATGCAGAACATGGATACGAGCCATTTTTCCCTAAAAATTCTTCTATGAAGCATCCCTCTCTATAGGCAGATAGTCCTTGAATTGCGTTGTCTTAATCAATTAGTCTAACATCCAGAAAAGCATATGTAATTTATTTTGAAATGAGAGTTAAGGTACTTAAATTTCTCTTCGTAAGTCTATTTTGGTACTCATGTATTAACACAACCACCTTGTCACATATTTGGTGGTCTTTATAAATGTAAAGGTAAAAATTACTTACTGGTACAAGTTAGTGGTTTTTATGACTTTTTTTTTTAAAAAAAACCATTCCCAAATATCTGATAGTAAGTCAGCAAAGTATTATCGACCTACCGAAAAAAGCCGAAAAATCTAAACATGAATTTTAATTATTAAGTAAAAATTATATGATACATTAAAAAATAGGTTCTTACATGTTATCACAAGCACTTTAGTACAAGCTCTTTTAAATTTCCAGAATGTGCTAAAATCTGTCGACCATGAGCATAACAATACTTTAGGCAACCATGCTCATAAACATTCCTTCAGTCAAGCAACATTACCCTCATTCTTTTTCATTTATAAAAATTTGCCAAACTTGAGGTGATTACGCTAATATGTTAAGTACTAAAAAATAAAACACTTATGAATTTGCAAAATACTTCTCTAACTTTTAGCGTTATTCTTTTCTCCATGTACACAGTGATCTGTTTTCACTTAAAAAACCAATAAATTGCATAAACTTGTACTGCACATCAACTGTTTACCAAACACATCTCATCGCTGTTTGCGTTAACAGTTTTGTGACAAAATACTATATTCTGCAGAATTTTTACTGCAGTTTCTTCCATTGCTGGCAGATTCCACAAGTGATATTTTAAAAGTAAGTTAAAGGTTCCCAACTCCCCCCAAAAAAAATTACGATGTCTGTCAAAATCATTAGAATTCCAAATACAACAAAAATAAACAATTGAAACATTGCTTGACTGAAGGATTTTTATGAACAAGGTTGCCGGTGAAATTTTTATGTGCAGAGTATGGCAATTTTTATTAAGGTGGTTGAGATAATATGTGACTACCTCTAATTTTAAAATATTAATAGAGAAACATGAATTCTTATTGCATTTTAAGTAATTATTACTATCAAAATCTTACTCATATTGTTCAAGTTTTTACAAGTAAATGAAGTCCAACTCCGCTTCACATTGAAAAGTTATAAAAATATGGGATGTACATGCACAGATACTGTTCTTTTAAAAACACTCAAATTATTTCTTTTTACTGTAGTAATTATTAGCTTTGCTTTCTTCTCAGTTTATATATATATATATATATTTGTAAATATATATATATATATATATATACCATTTTCAATGATAAACTTATATTCACAGCTAAATCAGACATAAGTTAGTCAATATTTTGTTACTTTTAACATACTTAAACATAAGCATTAACTTCTTATATATTTTCTTTTAAATATATGTATTGCATGTTTTTATTGATACCAAATACGCTACAACTTAGACAGCAGAATTACGAGGTTTTTTCGTATTCTTATTCAAGATATTTGACTATTCAACTTTGATATCTCTTGAAAAATCAAGCTTAGGAAATATATTCATTATCCTTATAAATATTTATTTCTGCATGTTTTCCCATAGCTTGTTAATTATGATTTGTTATATATGAATGAATGATAGCTGTAATAGTAAAAATTAAAGTGTTATTTTAATTTTCAGGATTTTAATGATACTAGTACACAAGAAAGAAGTGCAGAAGTTACCAGTCATTCTGAGGAGATGTTTGACATGAACGATTTTGAAGACACTGAAGAGACACAGAGAGAACTATGTCATACACAAACACTACCACAGCTAAAAAGACACACATCAAACACTACAACTTCAAACAAAAAACAGAAACACGATCACATTTACACAGCAGCCACAACAACACTGGAAGAAATTTCTACAATATTAAAATCAAAAAACACTACTCCAAATACATTTACACAGTTCGGTTCCTTTGTTGGTTCCGAACTAAGTCTAATCCGTGACCCTCAACTCCTCACAGACACAAAATATAAAATATACCAAATTCTCACAGATGCACAGACAGAACAAAATGTATTAGATTCCATGAACAACACAGAATAAATAAGAAACTTAGATATATTTATTACTTACCACATTATTTTGTAACATAAAATAAAAATACTTATAAATAATCTTTATTTCTTTATCTTTTATTATAACATATATTGAGAAATCAGGGAACATAAATTGAATAACATATATTGAGAAATTAATAATATTTTTTTATAAATTTATCTTGCCATGCAACTTTTCCTTCATTATTTACATAATCACAAATTTTTTCTCGCATTAGCCTTGCTTCAGCAGACCCTGTGTTATAACCATTTTGTTTACACAGGGATTTCATCTTACTTAGCGATTCCTCATTTCGCCATGATCCAGGTATAAAATTAAAGTCCTCATCTTCATGATCGATTAGTTCTCTTGGTGTATACAATTGCCTGGACGGTCTTTCTCGTAGAAAGTTATGCAAACAGCAACATACAGAAACAATTTTATCAACTGTCGCAGGAGGCAGCTGTATTGGTTGCATCAAGATACGAAATCTATTTGATAATATCCCGAATGCATTTTCAACAACACGCCTTGCCCTGGACAGTCGATAATTGAAAATCCTTTGCTGAGGAGAGATATTTTTACCAGGATATGGCCTCATCAGATAACATTTCAAAGGAAACGCCTCATCTGCAACCATAAAATAATTCACAGGCTCACTACCTGGAATCAAAGGTGTTGGGCTGGGCAGATCAAGCAAGTTATTGTCTAGCATCGAAAATAAACTTGTTTGGGCAAAAACTCCTCCGTCTGATATTCGTCCATTACATCCAACATCAATAAATGTAAATTTATAATCTGCATCAACTGATGCCATCAGCACAATGCTGTTGAAACTTTTATAATTGTAAAAAGTGCTGCCACCCCCTGCTGGTGCTTTTATCATAACGTGTTTTCCATCGATGGCACCAACACAGTGTGGCAGGTTCCACTTTTCAGCAAAAGCTTCTTCTATGGCTTTCCACTCCTGAGCAGTGTTTGGTGTCTGAAATGAGAAAATAAATAAGTATTAATTATGAAACTGAAAAAAGGATGCGAATACAAAATATAAATGCAGAAAATGCTATTTAAATATTGGCAAATAGTAAAATCAAATATTTTATCAACGAATATTAGCTACTCATTTGTTATAATAAAATTCACATCAAAGAAATAGATAAAAAAAATGTGCTTATATATTTTGGTTGTGTTCCTATGTTTCACTTTTTATCTAATTTTTCCCCATTTTTTTCTCTCTTGTTTTTGATTAAGCTACACCATAGATTCTATTTAAAGTTTTTAAAGTAATGAATGTGTCAGATACAATAAATGGAATTAAAGCTAAGTGACTGTGGGTAAATGAATGTTTTTGATCACAATACCCATACAGACAGAAAAACTGATAATTTTTGGAAAATAAATGATTAAAAAATAAGCTGTTGTTGTACAAACAATAATACAATAAACAAAAAGGGCTTATGCTTGTTTGTACACAGAAACAGAATTTTCATTTAAACAACATGTTTAAACATTTTATAACTGAATATATATGCTTCTTAATTTGAAGAAAACTCAAAACTAAAAGTGTCTATTGAAGAATTTTGGATGAACCCATAGGTGGTCAATTTAGCAGATTCATTATGTGTTTTATACAGGGTTGATACTAGGTTGTCAATTTGCTGTCCAATGCAATCTCTGCAGTTCCTACATTCTATTGCTAGATGCCTCCCTAATTATAAAACAATGTGTTTATTATGATTTTTCCAAAATCAAATAATCATATCTCTTCTTATAAATGAAAATTTTATTTAAATATACTGAAAAGCATAAACAACATTATGACAGACATTCACATTCCATTGAAAATGGTTCATTCTAGAATTTGAGTCAAATTATAATCTAGAGCATGGACCAACAAACTGGTGCCTGCAAAACAATTTGTAAAATTTTAAGAAGCTGACGAGATATTTTAATGTTGAGTGGGGAAAAACAATTTCATTTATAACTTAAAATTATTTTCTTAAACTGTTGGTCGCGACCCCCATAGGAGGTCGCCAAAACATTTTAGCAGTTTTTGATAATATCCTTTAACTTATTCCAATAATTTTACAATTACCAAAATATTTTTACACAATGTATCTGAAAATAGATAAAGATAAGGCAATACATAAAGTTCTCTTTCTAACTGAACAAAAATCTGATTTTACGAATTTAATTCATAATAAGTTATGGCTACAAAAGCTGCGTTATTTGAGTGACATATTTGAAAAACTAAATGATCTAAATTTGTCGTTTCAAGAAAAAGGTTGCAACATAGTCATATTCAAATTAAAAATTGATGCTTTATTAAGAAAATGACCATATGGAAAAGGGTTTGTTAGAAATGTTTGTCGCAACAACTGAATTTTTAAATGAAAATGATGAAATATATAAATATGATGAAAAAAATGATAAATGAACATCTTGATGTCTTGAGAAAAACTTTAAGAAATATTTCCCTTCAAATTTTAGTGTCAAAGAACTAATATGGATTGTGAAACTATTTAGAATTAATGTGGAAAATATTACTCATTTGCCATTAAAATCACAAGAAGAACTTGCTGATTTATCAAATAATTCGGGATTGAAACTTTATCTTTAATACGAAGTCTTCAGAAGATTTTTGGCTAGCAATTGCAAAAGATTTCCAACAATTTCTGAAACTGCCATAAACTTTTACCTTTTTCTGCAACATATTAGTGAGAGACATTTTCATCTCTAACCACCATAAAATCAAAAGTGTCAATCAAAAAAGTTTAAAAAGCCCTGATTTATTACATGGTAAAAAGTGCATGCTTATGCAACTGAAGTATAATGGTTAGTGTAAAATATAACTTGGAGAGACATTTCATCAGTACGGTGTTTGCATAACATTTTCAAGAGAATGTTACATGAGTAATGAAATTCCAATTGCTATACTAAATCTCTCTCTGCTAGTACTTACAAAGAAAAAAAAAACTCAAAGTTATCCGTTATCCAGATACCCCAATGCAACTATTATTTTATGACTTTAATTGTAAATAGGTTACTTAAATTTAAATATCGCAAAGCCTCGAGGACTATCTGCGTAAGAGACCTTCGTAGAGGCCTTTCTAAGGGAAACTAGCTCATATTTATGTTACACATGGGGTAAAAACAAAAACCAACCATGCAGCCAACCTGTTCGCCTGGGACGGAACCCAAGCCAGGTCGAACTACCAGTATTCAGTTGTCTTAACCACTCAACCACTGGTGGGGCTCTTAATTCTAAATAGAAAATTATACATTGCACTCCTGTAATACTCTTTTTAAATGAATCACATTTCAAGGAAAACAAGCTCTGAAGTTAATTCAATATTACAAATTTGAGAAAAATTCAACTTAACATTAGTATCCTGATCCTGTAAAAATGAACATTTTTTTTTAAAAATTAAAAGGTCATGATGTTGTTGTGAATTATAAGACCTCATATGTAACATTGATATATTAAGTTTTAACTCACCTTTATGTAATCTTGCATGCATTCCCATAAAGCATCCAATACTTCTGGTATCACTCTTGACAATGTTTGTTTAGGTATTCTAAACAAATACTGTAAATTTGAATAGGAACACCCTGTAACATAATAAAAAACTTAAAAAATAAATTTATTAAAAATGATGATGTAGTGATATAATTATGATATTTATTCATTATAAATTTCTCAAAATTTTAAAAAATTGTGGTTAAAATTATTGTTTGAATTTGTATTTCAATTTTTGTGAATTTGATTTATTAATTTTATAAAAATTAATTGATTTTTTTTTCAATAAAATAAAAAAATAACTTACCACCAGCTAGAAAGCGTAAAGTAACATGCAGCCTCTCAGATGGTGAAATTGCACAACGCATAATCGTATCCTGTTTTTTAATTTTGCTGCTCACTAAGTTTAATAAATAATCAAAATCGCACGGCATCATTCGCAAATACTTTCCAAATTCCACCCTGTCTTCAAAACGCAGCTCTTGGAACAGGGTATTATGGGCTCCATGAATTTCTCTGCGTTTCACCCAATTTCTCGTCCAAATACGCTTTCTTTTTTCTTCTTCTGCAGCAGCAGCAGCGAAGATCAAAATCGCGCAGATGTTGCTACAGTAGCAATTAACGGGAAATCTTCATCCATTTTTATTATTGTCGCCTAAATTCACTCCCGCACAGTTTTGTTTTCACAGTTGTTGATAGTGTGACGCTACATAGGGCGGGAATTCTTCCTCGGACAGTGATTGGTTAAGACATTTCCTGTACCGACGACAAAATCGTTGCGTGTGGACAAGCAAGCTCTCGCAGATAAAATCGTACGAGAAAGTCGGCCGATAAAATCGGTACGTGTAGACGGGCCTTAAGTGAGCCCTGGATACAAGATATAATACATAAAAATTTTCATAAGCTGGAAGACTATATATACAATATTTACAACCATTTTCTTTGCATGAAATGAGTGATGAAGTCAAAAGCATGCTATATACAAGTTGGGGAAGTTACTTCCAACATGGAGTTTACTTCCTACCTCCATGGTATCCACTAATGTAACTAAATACGTGTGGCGGCAAGTGTCACCAGCAACTTTCCGTTCGTTCTTAGGAATCAGATCCAGGACTCTTTCTGCCCCCGACACACATTCCGCTTAATGGCTGTAATTATATCAGGTGAGAGTCGTGGTCATAGAGAACATCTTCTGTCATCATGATTCCTCTGCAACTATTGGTTTCGTTACCCAATCTGGAGTAGGAAGTTCAGAGAGGAAGTCCAGAGAGCCCCAACATTGAATATAATCAGCTATACAGATGTCTTGCTGATTCGATGAAAAGTATACTACTGTCTATTCGTATTCCAAACATCGGCACTGAATACGAAGAAATTATGAAAGAAAGTACTCAACTCGAAATTTTAGTCTTTTTCATTCCCTGATGTGCCATATGGAGAAGCAGAAATAGAAAATTTGTGCAAAAGGCTCCCCTAAATGAACGAGAACTTTAAGATAATTTAGGGTTTTTAAAGACACAAACAGAATAGAAATTAATTCTGCGTTACGGAAAACTTTTGTAGTTAGTAAACTGTATACCTGTTTCTAGTGCCGAGTACGAGAGAGAATTTTCCACAATGAACTTAATTTGCAAGTCGCAACGCACATCTCTTCATCTTAAACTCTTTCTATTTTAATATTCATTAAACTCGTCGGCCCTTCACTTAAAAACTTTCAGCTAGCAACTTATGTACGTTCGTGGTTAGCAACAAGTCATAGCGCAGTCAGTCAGAACAGAGAAAAGAATAAACAGAAGATCGGGATTTGACTGCATTGTCCAAAATATTTCAGTGACCTTCTTCATAAACGGTAGCACGAAAGTGATTGATTAACAGTATTAGAAAAATGAACTTTCAGCAGTTTAAAACTTATTAACAACTCATAACGTCCTGTGGCGTAGCTAGGATTCCAGCGCCCGGGAACAAATGAAGAATTTGCGCCCCTTTCTGTGTGCGATGAATGGAAAACATTTCATTAAAAAATTTCGTAGCATCAATTTGGCCCCGCCTGAATGCTGCGCCCGGGGACATATGTCCCCCCTTGCCCCACCCTAGCTACGCCACTGATAACGTCAAACTAATTTACTTGAAAATCTGAATTCTGACTGCATTAAAAATTTATGTTTTTAATATTATTATCCATTGTTAATTGATATAAAATAGCTCTGTTTGCATATTATGTTTATATTCCATATTACTAGCATTTATTATTAACAGTTCAAGAAAAATTGCTTAATTTGTAATGTGTGCGAAAAAATACACTACATTAATATTAATATTCACATAATGCATATAAATTTGTATTGCTTTTTATATTTTTGTGTTTTAACTAGCATAATTTCTCATACATTTTTCAAACACTTAAAAAAATATGAAGCTAAGAAAGGTTATTTATGCTAATTTATTTCAACAGTTACGCATATTTATGTTATTTAAACTTCCTTTGATTTATGCGCTGGAAAAAAGAACAGTTTAGTCAGTTTTCCCATATGGCAGAATATAAGAATTGTTCCTATAAAGATATGTATAAATTCAAATTTCGAGTTGCTTTTCTGGGAGAAATATTATTATCTGACATATTTTCTAACAAATGATGCAAACAACTGTTAAATTTTCGAAATTTCTTCCCCTTTAAAAATAGCTTTAAATAATAATTCCATTGAATAGCAAATTCATTGATGAAATTGAACTTCAGTAATTTAAAAGTTATTAACAATATATTTTAACAAACTTGGAATCAATTTATCAGAAAACCGAATTTTTATATTTTTATAATTTCCAAGTTTTTCTCGCGTATTTTTATTTTATTTTCATATGTGTTATATTTCTATATCGTTTTTCTGATATTCATAATTAAAAGTTTAGAAGCTTAATTACTTTTGCTTAAATAAGAAACTAATACAGAACATTAAAATTAAAACTCACATTTTTAATAAACTTTTGTCATTATCTTTTAAATTTCTACATGTTGCATGAACAAAACGATGGGAAAAACAGAACTTCAGTACCATAAGTAACATAAGTCCATAATCATAAAACTGAAGTCGACGAAACTTAAACTCCAAACTGACCGATATATATTTTTGCTAATGACAGTGAGAAGATATATGCACTTTTGTGCGTGTTACACGATCTCATTATTAAATTATCCGAAAAATCAGCTTCGGACAATTTCTTTTCTGGTAAATTAAAAATTTAATCAGGACTTATTTATGTTAAATATATGAGTTTAAATGTCATCGAAATAAAATTTCTTAAAGAACTTCCAAGAGAATTTCTTGCAAAAATAAGATAACAAAATTTTCAAGCATTATTTTATCTTTAGCAACAGGTCTTAATAAAAAGATTAAATTTCAGGTTGTTTTGGTTTATGTGATTACGGCAAAGCCTTGAGAGCTATCTGCCTAAGGAGAGGGATGCCTTCTGACGACTTTCTAAGAGAAACTGGCTTTTGCACGCGTTACAAATGAGAAAAACTACGAAAATGCCAATGCAGCCAGCCTGTTCGCGGGATTCGAACTTCTGATTGAAATACCACTGTTCAGCAATTTTACTGCTCGGCCGCTGATGGACTGTGCTTAAACTTCAGAAGCACATATTAATTTTCGGTATTTTTTTTTCCTTAATTTGAAGCGTAAGCTTTGAAAATAATCATATAAGAATTTAATGGTCGTTACCACAAATTAAACATTTTTGTATAAAATTTTATGCCCAAATTATAGCTGGTGTGAAGGTAAATAAAAGTTAAAATTTTGTTTAAAAATGTAACTTAGTTTTTGCGCTTCTGTAGAAAAATTATTTAGAATAAAATTTTTTAAGATATAAGATCAATATTACAACGGAATTAATATCAATTAGGAAACAAGCGAATCATTTGCAGGATTTACTCATATTATATCTTATAACCTGTCTTAATTTCTATATCCATTGCTTCCGAGTGATTTAAATTTTTATATATATTTTATTTATTATTAAATTTATTTAATATCAATAATAATGTCTTTATATCTTGTTAATTTTAATTTCTCGTAATTTAGTGTTTTTAGTCCAATGAGGCTTTGACCCTGAGGGACTATTGTTTTCGTTTTGGCATTTTGCGTTGAAATGTTTAAAAGGCTGTATCACTTTTCAAACTGTTGCCAACAAATATTATCTCCCTGTATTATATTTGAAGAAATTAAATAATGAAGTATCTGCATAAATGTATGTATGTTTCTTGCATTTTGCTAAAACAGCGGTACCTAGAACCATCAAATTTTAAATGACGTAATCCTACTGCAAATATGGGCATCTGGAAGCGAGATTTGAAATTTGGAATTTGTCTTATTATCGATTTCATATTTTGTAAAACTTTAACAAATTTCTGATAACAAACTCAAAGATTTCAAAGCGAGCAACGGCAATGTTATACAGAAAAAACTTTTTTATCTCCAGGGCTTGATACTGTGTATATCGGAAATTCTAAAGATATGCTCAATTTAAAATTGTTTTGTGATATTGCTCTTGAACTGAATTTTATGGTTTAAGTGCGAAGAACATGATATTTAATAAATAATGGTAACACACAAAATGTTTAAAAAAGAAGCCTCTTTGGACGCAATTTAAAATCTGAAACCTTTCCGATTTTCTTTTTTTCTTTTCTTTTTTTAAATTATTTTTATTTTGTTCATACCAATTTTTTGCATCCTGTCTAAGGATTTAACGTAGGACTCCAGTCTCCAGTACTTCTGATTTCAGAAATTAAGTTCTGCTGGCACGGTATACAGCGAGTACACTTTTCGTTTCAATACTCGGCGATTTCTGAGAACAATTATATCGCATTTCATGATTTTCTTTTGCAAGTAAAAAACATGCCGCATCCATTTCCGATGTTCGAAGGTTTTAACCAATAATCTCCTTTTTTTCACATCTATATGCAATGCTGTTTCATGATCAAGAATTTGTATCAATTAATCTGCTACTGTGTCAATTAATTAACTTTCTTCAAATCATTCGGATTCTATAACGAACAACAGTGTTTTCCTTGTGTCCTGATCTGAGCAGCAAATTGTGTGTATGTTTCTCCTGACTAACTCCTTTAGAAACATAGCTAAACTTGCTATGGAAGTTCACTAATGTCCTTTTAAGATTTTGTTCTTAAATACGTAGTAATTTTTGACACTGTCTTCACTAACATAAATCTGTATAAGAGCATATAGTATTTCGATGCTCTGGGAAGTAAACCGATCTACTCCTCTGCAGGTAGCGAGAGTCAGGTGTAATAATAAGCAGTTCGTCAAAAACATTGATATTTTTTTTTGTGTGTGTGAAAGACGGCAAAATGCCGTCTTAAAATGATGCTAATTGGTGCAAAAGAAGAGTATGAGGTGGGTACTATGGTTGTGGTTTGTGATTTTGAATTGAAATTATAGTGTTTCGATGATGCTTAACATGGTAGTAAATAGAGTGAGCAGATTTGGAAATTTATTTTTTGATTGTTTTCGACTATTAAATTGTCATGCAACATAAATAAAAGCGTTCGTTGCATTTTCACACACTACTTTTATTAAAA